CAACCTCCCGCACAGCCAATGGCATCCCCTCTCTTGACTTTAATATTTATGAGGGGGGGGGCACTGGAGCGGCCAATGAGGCAGCCGGGGTCGGACCCGGCGTGCGAGGCCGGGGTGTATATATATAAGCGTCTGGGGCACATGCCTCCTTGGGGTGTCCATCTCAAGACCCAGTGGCCCGCTCGCTCTCCTGCCCGAGGAGGACCATGCCTGGGCCCCACAGCTACCGGGGTTCCCCCTGAACCCCCCCATCTTCCAGGTCCATCCCTCCCAACAGGACACCCCAGCGAAACCCCAGCGAACCACCACCCCCACCGGGGAAACTTCCCTCCTCCTCGATGGAGGGATGAGCCAAGAGGTTGGTTCCTCCTTCCTTGGATTACTTGGAGCTTCATCCCGCGCTGGAAGGGAAAAGCTGGAGCCTGGGAATGGTCAGCTGTTTGGGGGTAAGCTGGGGATGGGTCTTGAGGTTGGGGGGGGTCAGTTGGGGGTCACTGCAAGGTTTGGTGCTGCTGAAACGGTGGCGTGGGGAGAAGGAGAGAGAGAAAAGCAGGGTGGTCACTGCAGGAAGGTGCCCCACTGCCCAAAGTTCTCCAGGGAAGGAGGCTTGACCCCTCCATGAGGTTTAAGACCCTCCTGGGCATCCTTCACTTTGGGTTTGGGGGTGTTTCCCATCAGGAAAAAGCCAGGGGACCTCCATCCAGAGGTCCCAGACACGCTCTGCGGGGCCAGGGGGGTCTTCAAAACTTGTTACGCCGCTGGTCTGGAGCTTGAGGGAAAGGGCAAGTGAGGAGGTGGGAAGCGTTGCTTCCCGTCGGGGGTTTAATCCTTACTGGGGTTTGCGAAGGCAGGACTGGAGCAAGGGTGGGTGTGAAAGAGGTTCTTGCACGAGGTGGATTCAGGAAGGTGGGAGTTTGTGGTTCCTCTGAAGGAAAGAGTGAGAAAGAGCCGCTCAGAGCACAAGAAACCCGCCTGAAGGAGAAGCTTTTTGAGGACAGGACCAACCCGGCGGAGGAGGAGTGGGATGAGGAGCTCGTTTGGGTCCAGTCCTGAAACTTGTCTTCATGCAAATGGCCCGGCTGAGAGCAGAGACCCCCCCATGGGACCCC